GTGCCCTTGGTCTGCACCAGGGTGCCCTTGCTCACCAGGCTCTTGAGGCCCAGCTTGATGCGGCTGTTGTTCTTCTCCACGTCGTAGCCGGCGGCCGCCAGCGCCTTCTTGAGCGCCGCCAGGGAGAGACCGTTGCGCTCCTTGGACGCGGCGACGGCCTTGGTGATGAGCTCGGACACCGGGGGGCCGGTGGCTTTGCGCTTCGCAGCGCCACCGCCCGCCGCCTTCTTGGTGGCCTTCTTTTTGGCGGGCGATTTCTCCACGGGCGCCGGGGCCGCCGTCTCAGCGGGAGCGGTTTCCGACATGGCCGGGAGCAGAAACTGCTACGAAGAGAGAGACTGAAAATCCAAGGCGCAAGTCTGGCGATGCTGCGTGACTCCGGCCAGGGGCTTATATAAGCCGGGGCTGCTCTGTGATTGGTGGGGCGTCCAATCCACTGCCCTCAGGCAGCCGCCCTTCGCGGTTGGACTCCCAAAGTGTGTTTGTTCGCCCCCAAATCTGATTAAATGCTGAAAATAATCATACAGAATCGGAGGCTTTGAAGCTCTCATGGAAGACAGCAGTCTCCACGTTCACACACGGGTTTGTGTTTTCATGAATCGTGTGCAACAGAGGAAAGATATTTTTTAAAACTCTTTTCGGCTCGTCCCAGGAATCCCCTGGCTTTAGGGCATCGTGCTAGTTCTCTGGAAGTTGCAATGACTTTCCGTTAAACGTCAGGAGGACATCTTTAAAAATGCTTTGTCCCTAGCTTCTGCTTTGGACTTTTGCAAGAGGAAAGACACAGTTCCCTGGGTTTGGGCATAAACATTGTTTCGAACTGTAGCAAATAGCATAGAGGCAGGGGGACGTAGACTGCCTACAGCCCCAAATTAACCACATTGATCTTACTTGGAAAACCAGTTCTGTCTCCTAGGAGTCTGCACGTGTGAATGTCTTCAGAGAATGTCTTTTGCAGTTTGGGAAAGTTCAGTAGCCAGAATGACGCCTGCTTTGCAGCTGAAGCGGGAGGAATAGCTCTGGCTTGCGGATCCAAAGATCTGGATTCAAATTCAAACTTGAATTTGATCTGTTTTTGATTGAGATGCTTTCTCCTTTAGTAACAGGCAAATCCATTATACTAAATGGGAAAGCTGCTTTCACAGATAATGTACTCTAGGAACAAGCCAGACCTGCTGGAAGTACTTCAGGGTTTCCAGCAGTCCTCGAACACACGGGCTGTTTCCATGACATGGGACTCTGCCGGGTTTCCGAGGTGCTCTTCCCCACTCCCCAATTCAAACTCCTTATCTCCACCAACATATAAAAAAGTGCACGGTCAGAAACACCCTCTTCTGTAACGTGGGCATTACTGTGTGTTTGCCAGGAGAGACTTGTACTTCAGAGATACGGATGGCTACAGACTCCTGAGGAAAGCAGTTTAGGGACGGAGGGACTGCAAGTCAGAGAGGGTCCAAAGAATTCAGAAATACATTAACATCGAAGAGAACTGACGCGATGACCATGAGGTTGGAACGGAGGGTGGTTAAGCTTGCTATTTCTTTGTGGGGAGGGTGGAGTGGGGAACGGATGGGATTTTGTGACGTGGCCTGGATTCTGATGTGGCCTGGATGATAAGTAAGGTCTAATGATTCAAATGTGTACTACAGTCAACACTGTGTTCTTCCCAGTGAAGACCGGCAGGGAAGTTTAAAGTCGCGAGCATAAGTCGCGAGCATATTTCTCTCCAAGGAGCTCCTGGAGTTGCAAGTGTAGCCAACTATGGCCATATCTGGACAGTGTCCTGTTCTGTGTGGCTCTCAAGCTAAGAGTGGTTTTTATATTTTATTAATTGTGTTAGGAAAAAGAAAGAGAGACCATATTTGGCCGGCAAAGCCCCAAATATTTGCTATTTGGCCATTTTGCTGTTTTGGACTCCTCCGTATATGCAGTTTGGCGTACTGCTACAAGCCCGCGTCTTTCAGAACAACGCAAATCGGGAACTAACAAAAGACCTTAACAAGGAAAATGTTTTAATCAACCACTTCCCACTATTTCAACCACAAAACTTTTAGAAGATTTGGGTGGAGGGGACCCCTCCACCACATGTTTAATGGGCAGGAGAGAGGTATAATAAGGGCTAACCTTCTTTGAGCATTCACTAAGTGCCAGGAACTAATCAAAGAATGCTCTATGGTTTTGATTCATTTGCCTCGGTTTACAGCTACACAGGCTGGGACCCAGAGGAAGGATGAATAGTAACCCGGCAAACGGTTATATGGCTAGTAATTGGCAGCTCTGAGGTTTGAACCTAGATCACCTGGCCTTGGCTCCATTATGATGGGAAAATCCTGTAAGGGGTGGGGAGAAAACAATCTGAAGCTCCTAAGAGGCAGCGTCAGGTAGTCCCTACAACCAAGAGCCACTAAAGGATCTCTAAACTAATCTGTAGGAAGAGGTTCTGGCCCCTTGGGTGTTTGCCCTCAATCCCTGGGCTTTCCAAAAAGCTTTAGGAGCCAGTAGATGGGATAAGAACCTTTCTGAAAGGACAAATTTGAAAATAGGGGAAAGAATATAAGACCCAGATGGCAGAAAGCTCCAGAGAAAAATGGCTAACTCCTGGAGTTAGGATTTGAAATCAAAAGAAGCAAAATGAGTCAATAATGTTCACATGTGAAAAGCATGAGACGTCAAAATCTTAAAATAATTGGAGAAAAGTAATACATACAGCCAAGTTCTGTTGGGAAACCCAGAATTTTACGTGTGAAAACCTGTAACATAACAGCTTTAAAACATCTCAGATTTAATGCCCAGGCTTATTCTCTACTTGAAAAAAACAAAAAACAAAACGGAGAACTCAGCTTCAGACTGAGAACGTTTTTAAAACAAGTGTGTAAATACTTTAGATTTTTAGAGCCACGGGCAGCTCATTGTACTGACAACCTGCAGGTCAGCATCTAGGTCATTGCTGGCCCATTTTCTGCTGTTAACTACATACACAAAGCCCAGCGGCATACTCTTGCCAAACATTACATTACATTGAAAAAGAGTGGGAAAGCTAACCCCACTTTTGGCCATCCCGGTTTTGTTCCTTCACATGACAGGAAAACGAGTAAAGGGCACGTTTCTGAAGTGAAAACAGGGGGCTCATTTGGCAAAAGTTGTATTTGCCATTTGCACAATAATCCACAGGAACCTGAACTCAAGTCTTGGACAACTTGGGCATCTTCCTTCCGTCCCTTCCTGTAGTCCAGGTTCAGTTTCTAAGATGGCCGGGTCACTTTAAAAATGCCCATCCAGAAACCGATCCTTCCCACGCGTAGTACCAGCAGGGCCCGCCCACATTTAGATTTACAGAACAGAGCTACACTCTCCAATTTTCAGTTTAACTCTCGAGACCACCAGCCCTTCCTCGAAACATACCCGAGCTCTCATGGGGCTACCAAACTTTCGAGCGTTAACAGCTCCTTTCGGGGACAATGGAGGGGCTCTGAAAAGAGCCTTTGGGTTTGAAGTTGGCAAAATCAGAACATTAAGAATTACGCCCTCTCGCCGCGGATGCGGCGCGCCAGCTGGATGTCCTTGGGCAT